ACATAAAAATCCTGATGACATCTGACAAGAATGTGGAGCGAATTAAACTTTTATACACTACTCTGTAAAGCGATACAACCACTTTGGACAACTTCCATTTATTATATGTTAAACACATACCTACCATAGGGTCCAATAATCCATTCAGTTATCCAAGAGAAATGAAAACAAATGTCCACCAGATAAGCGTAAGTGGAGATTTACACCAGCTTTACTGCAAAGTGCCCAGAACTAGAAGTGTGCCAAATGACTGCCAACTGAGAGACGCGTAGCAATTTGTGACAGCGTCATATAATGGACTGCTACTTAAGAATAAAGAGCTGGGCATGGTGGTGCACGCCTGTGACCCCAGCACTCAGGAGGCTGAGGCAGGAGGGTCACTGTGAGTGCTGAGGCTACTTAAGTGAATTCAAGGCCAGCTGGCACTACATAGTGAGACCCTGTCTCAAAAAATAAATTAAAAGAAAGAAGAAATAGTGATTGATACACATAGCATTATGGATGAATCTCAAAAATTGTCATGTTCATATCAATACTTGATGGAAAATACCTGTTCCTTGTTATGTCTAAGATGTTTGATATTCAGACAGATAGTGAGGTTAAGCTCAAGTGCCTATGTTTTAGGGTAATAATATCATTAAGCTTCTCTTCTGGAGGGTTAACAACTTAAGTTTGCAAACCAAAAATTAAAGAAAAAGAAGGGCTGCAAGGACAGCCAACATTTTGGCCCTAGCTTTTCAAGGTCAGTGAGGACTCAGGACATAAGAGACCCTGTATTGTAACATCCTGTAACTCAATTGTGTCCCAAATTTTTTGATCAAGGAGATTTTGAGGCAACAGAGAAAAGTGATTGATGATGTAGAGTGGACCTAAGGAGAGTCACATGGAGAGAAAACATTCTCTCAGGCTTTCACAGAGAGCACATTGGCAAAGCAATGGAAGTGACTCATCCACATGGCTGACACTGACAAAGGATCTACAAACTGAGGTACAGGATCTCAAGATAAATTCTGAGGGGATTTCACTGACCTTATCAGACCCAAAAGCTACAACTCTTGTTGCATAGGTCTTGCTTTATCTTGGTTTTAATCATCCAGCAGAAAAGTAGGAAAATGAAGTATAAAAATTAAAGCTATATTAATATGATGAGCTGTAAAATGCTCAAGTCAACAACTTCGGACATTGCCAGTCTTATGGAAAACCCACTACTATTATGGACTATTGGACTATATTGGGATGTTTTGCTGAATTCATGCACCTACAGTATTTAAATGACAATGGAATGTACTTCTCTGACAAAACTAACCAAAAAAGGGGGACACAAATGAACGACCATTCTGTATCTATATGCTCAAAATAGTCAGGATAGATATACAGCTCCATTCTCTTAATTCAATGAGTAGAGAGGTTTGTTCTCATAGTGTTTGAGATAGGATATCAGGTCTGCAACTTTTACAGTGAACAACCACTAAGAAAACAATATGCAATGTATTAATTATTGAAAATGTACTAGTAATCAGTTGTGAAACTGTCTCATTGCTTTTTGTTTCTCAATAAAAATATTTTTAAAAATTGTCATGTTCAGAAGAATCAAGGCAAGAAAATCTATATACCATATGATTATGTTTACACAAACTTCTAGAATGGACAAAACTAATAAAGAAGCAAGGTGGCCTGAGGACCGGTGAGGAAGGGTGAATCACAAAGAAGCACAGAGATCCCTGAAGGTGGGGAGTTCTTGGGGTGACCACAAAGTTGTTCCATCTAAATTATGCCTAAAATGCATGCATCTCACTATATGAGTGCTCCTTCGGGAAACATAAACGTTATAATTTGTTTCTTCAGTGGAACTACACTGATTGCACCTCCACAGCCCAGAAGGGAAACTGCCCCGCTGTTGAGTGGATTCTCAGTCTCTTTCCTGTCAGGGATAGTACAGAGAATTTATGAGTGTACCGACCATTGAGTTCTAGTTGAATCTTGGTTCTGCCTCTTGCTGGCTGTGTGACTTTGGGAAGATGTTTTAACTTAGCTAAGCTTTGGTGATTATAGCTCTTAAAAACAGGTTTGAGGCTTGAGACAATGATGGGAGAGCCAGATAGGGCATGTGGTGCATACCAGAGCTCGTGCTGCCTTGCTCTTGGGGGCTGGAGGGTTCTAAGCACTTCTGTCCCAATGTCATCAGGCCACCCTCGGAAAGCTTACCTGACAGGGCTAGTAGGGCTCGATGCATGTGTCTCCCTGCTGGGGACAGAGAGGAATGTTGTGGCCTCCACCATTATAGCCTACTGATCTGAAAGAATTAACTAAGCAGGGAGGGCAGGAGAGCCTCCCTTTGCAATCCCTCTGCAGTTTCTACCCTTCTTGGGGGCAGTGTCACACAGTAATGGTTCTGATCCTGTCTCCAGCAGGGCAGAACTTGGTTGCTGTCCTCCCCCCATTAATCCCGATGTGACATCAGGTGACTCACTGGACTTTGCTGAGCCTCAGTTTCCTTTGGGAACCACCCACACCCACTCTCCATACCATAGAAATGGCTTTGAGGGTCCAAATCAGAGAGGGGACTTCATGAGAAAGTGATTTGTAAACTTCTATACTATGCACAAAGACAAATGGACTCTAGACACCTACAAAAGAAGCAGAAGCCACTGATGGCTCCTTGTAGTTTGGGGATGGAGATTCCCCATCTAAAAAGAGGGGATGGGCTTATAATAAGAAATGAAACTTCAAAAGCAAATTAGTGTTAGGATAGATATATAGTTACATTCTGTTAATGAATAGAATGATTTGTTCTGATGGTGTTTATAAATAGGATATCAAGTCCGCATCTTGTACAGCAATTAACCACTAAGAAGAATGTATGCAGTGTGTTAGTTATTGAAACTGTCCTACTGATTTGATTTGAAACTGTCTCATTGCTATTTGTTTATCAATAAAATTATGGAAAAAATAAATAAAATTAAAGTAAAAAGAAAAAAAAAGCAGCTTAGCTGCAGAAGTCAGAAGTACACTGCCTCACACTCTCACTAAAGTGTGCATGACTGACAACAGATTGCACCCAGAGAATGAATTCTCATAGGAAGCAGGATATCCTGGTTGGACTGAGTCACAAAAGGGTTTGCTCAGTGAGAGACTTTGATTGAGTCCTGTCCACCTTCTGCACCAGACACGTAACAGCGTGAGGCACTAATCTTAGCTTCTTCTCCAGGCATTTGTCCTGTCTCCCAACTGTGGCAGTGATGCTTCTCACCACCTGAGCTGGAAGAGGTGGCCTCTCAACCCCAATCCAGGCCTGACTCCCCATCTCCCATCCCATTTCTAAGGCTTTCCCTCACCACAGCCCCCCAGTTCTGGCACTGTGTGCTGCCAAGAAACTCCTTACCTCCCAGCACACCAGTGGGGTGGTCCAGACCTCCTGGAATCCCTGAAACCTTCTTCTCGTCTTACACCACCTGACCTTCGCTCTATCACCAACCATAAAACCCAAGCAAACAAAAGAATTGTAGAAATAAGCTGGTGTCCAAGAGGATGTCTTTCCCATCTCTATTCCAGCTCAGAAACCTCTCAGATGTCTTCTGTACCTGGTTTCCTTAACACTAACAATAATAATTGCTGCCACTAATTGAGCATTTCTACATGCTAGACACTGTTCTAAGTGCTTTATACACACTAACTCAGTCCTCTTATAAAATAGACACTGACTGAGAGACAGAGCAGTTAAGTAACTTGGCCAAAAGCACACAGCTAGCAGCTAGCAGGATCAAACCCAGCTCATGTCTTACCCATTTTGTCCTCCTGCTGAGACCACAGAAGGCCCTTCAGCCCCGCAATCCTTGGGAAACAAATATATATGTGCGCTGCCCTTGGGTTGGATCAGTATCAAGTTCGGCCCCTTCTTTTCACAAAAGGAGAGGCTGAGGCCTAGAGACTGTGGTGTTCCCAGGACATCTGTATGCTGTAGGCCTACGGGGCCAGCACTAGGTCTGAGCTGACATCTCTCCCTGTGTACGTCAGAGTCATGACCTGGAAATTAGCCCAAAGCCCTCATTTCAATTTGTGAGGGACTGCCCAGACCCTTACAGGCCCCAGCCAGCCAGGAGCGTTCATAAGAGCTGCCTCTGGCAGGTCACTTGAGGGATTTTCCTCGCCTTTGCTGTGGTCAGAATGCAAACTGTGCCTTGGTCTGGGCTGAAGCTCACACGAAGGGCCAGGTTTAAGCTCACAGCCTACATACGCTGGGAGTCAGCTCTGGGTGGAGATGGGAAGGTGCATGCCTACCTGTGGTCCCTCTCCTACCTCTCACTCCTGCAGTTCAAGGGTCAGAGAAGCGAAGTGGTGGAAACAGCCGCCTATAACTTGCGCTCCTGGCATTCCCTTCACCGCTTCTGCTCCTGCCTCGCCCCGGATGTCGTCCGACCCGTGGTCCTTCTCTTCCACCCACGTACATCTCCTGAAATGGTCCCCTCTCCCCTCTCTGTCATTCTGAGAGCATCCACACCAGAAGCCAAATCTGAGATCTGGTCCAGCTTCGCAGCAGCTGACACGCTCCTCCAACCTTCGGCGGTTTCCCATTCTCCTGGACCTTCCGAGATCCTCTGCCCAGTTTGGGGAACAACCCACCCCTTCCATCCACCAGCCCTCCTGGTCTCTGCGTCTAAAGCTAGGCCGGTGGCTGGACAGAGCCCGGGGTCGGGGCAGACAAGGCACCCAAGGGAGGGTCCAGAGCGGGCATCCGAGGGCGGGAGCCTCCGGGACAGGGAGCGCGCAGGCAGAGGACCGAGAACTCGGGCAGGAGTCTGACACCCTGCGGGTGAGGACAGCGGGGCGCAGGACACCAAGGACGTCCGAAGGCGCGGTCGGAGTCCTAGCCCAGGAGGACCGAGCTCCGGGCTCGAAATCCCGTCGCCAAGTAGGCTGGGCCCCGGGCAAGGGTACGAGACGCCTGCTGGGGTGCGGGGAGCTGGCCCTGTGGAAGGGCAGGCCGGGGTGGCGGGACTGACCCGAAGTAGGCGGCGGCGGCGGCAGCGGGCAGCGCGAGCAGGCAGAGCGCGACCAGGGCCGGCGCGGGGCGCATGTTGCAGCGGCGCAGCAGTCCAGCCCGTCCTCGCGCTGTTCAGCGCGAAGCCCGCCGCCAGCTGCCAGGCTTTAAACTCGGGTGGGGCGGGGCGGGAGAGCGGGAGGGCCAGGCGAGCCCTCGCCCCATTGGCCCTGAGCCCTCGCCCCGCCCTGCCCCGGGTGGGTCCGCTGCCCCACCCCACCCCGCCCCAGGTGCGCACTCACCTGGCGCTGCGCCCACCCGGGATGCAGAGAATGAACAAGAAGTCCCCCAAGCGGGCCTGGAGAGGCTTGGCATAGGGGTGCCACGCTGAGAATGAGATTCTGTAGGTGGAGCAAGGTGCAACCTCCCTCCCCAGGGTAGGGATAGGAGCAGGACCACGCCTGGCATCTGTGAGTAGACACTGCCGCTAGTCCACCCTCCCGCCCAGCCTACTGGTATTTGCCAGGACGGAGAATCAGACTCTGGGCAGAGTCACCAGGGAGAGACCTGAGCCTAAGGCAATGTGCGAGCCAGAACCTCTACCAGAGAGAACAGCTTCAGATGTTGGACCCCCAAGCTCTGGCTTTCTTATTCTTTTTAAAAGTTCCACTATAATCCTGCAGTGAAGGTACAGTCATCAAGCAGGGAGTGACACCAGCCTAGGAACAGTCATCAAGCAGGGAGTGACGCCAGCCTAGGAACAGTCATCAAGCAGGGAGTGACACCAGCCTAGGAAGGAGACATACACACAACCAATTATCCAAGTGAATTCTAGATCATTTTTGAGAATCTTGAACAAATCAAGCAAAAACTCTGCATGTAGTGCGTGTGCACACACACACCACCACCAAATCAGCCATGCGCGAAGAACAGAACATCAGGTGACAGTGACCTTGGCTTTGTGACGGACACTGGCATGATGGGCTGGGGGGTAGGTGTTGTGGACCTAGTTACTACTTTGTTAGATCTCATTAACAGAGGAAGCCACTTGCATAGTGAGCCTCTTTGAACTGTTTCTCAGTGAAATGAGAAGAGTGACTCCATGGCCCTATCAAATCTGTGGGTCTTTTTGTAGGCCACATTGTACGCAGAAATGTGGAGTCCAGCTGTAAATTATGAAGTCCAGATGTGAAATGGAGATGCTGACAAACAGCTCATGGGATATTATTATTATTATTATTATTATTATTATTTAATACAGGGTCGCACTACACAGATCCGACTGATAGTGATCCTCCTGTTCTCAGCCTCCCAAGTGCTGGAATGCGTGCCCTGGGGGGTGGGGCTGGCATGGCACTCCGGGGATTGAACCCCAGTCCTTGCGTCTGCCTAAACAGGAGCTTTAATCTGCTGAGCTATCTGGCTGGCCTTACGGGATTTTTGTGTAAACATGTCAAATGTCTAGGAGACCCTGGCACCTCTATCAGTTGCTGCATCTGCAGGCTGGACCAGTGGTGTGCTGATGTTTATAACTGCCTTGGGGTTGGGGATCTAATTTGTATCAAATGTTGAGTACCCTTAAATGTAAATGTCCCCTCCATGCTTGGTTTCAAACTGTTAATGGGGTCCTCGATAACTAGAGTTAGGAAGAGAGCAGCATTTGGCTCTGCTAACAGTTAGGACCTGACTCCAGTCCCACAACCAGTGAGACCTTGAACTAGGATCCAGGAGGCCCAGAGGAAGGCAGGCCTTAGCAGGACCGTGAGTCAGAGAGGAGAAAGAACTGTGGACTGGGGGGTGGAGGGATCCACAAGCCCTAGCCATTCCCCTGGACACCCGAGTGTGTGCAGATAAGGAGGGAGTGGGCGGAGCTTAGGCTGCCAGGTGCCTCTCCTGTCCCTGAGCCCATAAGCACACACCATGCATACTAGCATGCATATGCACTGAGAATGTGCACGATAGGAGAGGGGGACAATTTCTCCCCAGCTGACATACCTTGAACATTTCATAAATGCTCCGTGTTTATGTCTAATGTAAAGCTGTGCTGCAGAGAGTGGGAGACACCAGAATTAGATAGAGACATCAGGGGTAGGGTAGTGAAAAACATGTAGCTAATGATTAGATGGGTGCGCTTGAGCCGGTACCAATCACTGGCATGGACCTCACTCTTGGGATCCTTCCTCCTCTACCTTCAGGCAAAGGCTTCAGGGCTGTGCTTCTGCTTAGCCAACAGGGCTTCACAGAATGAACGCCATGTGTACGTGTGAGGCAATCATTATCATCTTCGCACAGATGAGAAAACTGAGGCCCGGAGAGCTGAAATTCTGGTGTATGTAGCCCAGTTTTAGAGGACAAAATGGGAGTTGAGTCTAGCCCCAGGGCACTGCCATGCTGGCTGTGGGTCAAAATGACCTTAGGTACAGAGATAGGGTCTGGCACACAGCAACCTTTGACATTCTGTCAGAATGCCAGGTATGTGCTGATCAGCTCTGTGGCCCTTCGAGGGGCCCTTAGTCTGGCAGGAGAGATGATAGTGAAACAGATCATCCTGCACTGCAGAATTGTGGTCCCTGAGGAGAAACTTGAATAGTGGCCCCTGAAATTTACAGCCTCAGGACATGAATAGCTGTGACTCATTCCACCCTGTCCCACCAACTCAGGGGCAGGCTGAATTTTACTGCCTGTCTCCAGCGCAGAGTAGACACTTAGGAAACATGTGCTGTTGCCAGCTTATACCTCGGCCTATAGATTTCGCATGGGGCTGCAGATAGGGAGGGTCCTATAAACACAATGCACCTCACAGAAGCACTCCCTCCTAACTGACACAAGCTTCCTGGGCACATACATGGACATGCACACACAGCAGCAGCACAAGTCCAGGCATTCAGTGGCACACAGATGTCCCTACATCTCCCTCATGGGTGTCTAAATTCCTAGGCAGACCCACAGCTTTTCCGGATCCACACGTTCACACAAGTATGCAAGAGACATTCTTAGACTTCCACGTGTAGCTACCTGTCTCCATGAACCAGCCCAAGGCAGCCACAGCTCAGGGCCCGGGTCTTCTCCTCCCTCTACACAGACACACCTTCAAGGTCACAAGTATGGGTCCACAAGCCTTGCAATAACTGCATTAAAACCAGCTCCAAGATGTCACCAGGCCTCCCTCCTCTCTTATTTGCTTATTTCCTTCTCTATTCCCCCAGGCCACCTGCCTAAAACAACCTTTAAAAAGAAAAATCTACCTCTAGAGCTGGCCAGATAGCTCAGTGGCCTAAAATGCCTACTTAGGCAGGTACAGGGACCAGGCGGGGTTTGATCGCTGGTGTGCTATGTCGGCCCTGCTCCTAGTGTGCACTGAGACTGTGAATGAGACTGGGCATGGTGACATGCGCCTGTAATCCCAGCTCTTGGGAAGCTGAAAACAGGAGAATCACTATGAGTCCAATCTACATAGACCCTGTACCAAATACATTAAAAAAAAAAAAATCCATCTCTGTCTTGTCCCAGGTCCTGCATACCTCCAAACCCCCAGACAGTGTACTCAGAAAATCCTCCTGCTTGCCACCAGCCCCAAGGAAGTGGAAATGCTCCCTTCCAGGGGATTTTATCCTCTGACCCATACTAGACAGACGCTGGACCCAGTAGGAGGCGAGGTAGGCAATGCCCCAGCAGCTCTGAGAAAAGCATCAGAGCTATGCAGACCCAAAATTCACCTTGCGGGTGCTGCTCCTGGAGAGGCCCTGACAGGATCAGAGTGATTTGCTCCTCTTCCCTCTCCTTGTCCTCTTGCGTCCTCCCGGAGACGCTCTCTGCTTTGCCATGTCCTCGGCAGGGCTGCTCCCATCAGTCCTGACCCCACACATCTGTGCTGCACTAGCAATACCCTTGCAGCACTTCACTCGCATTAGCTGATCTTGGAGCACTGGGAAGCAGTAGACTGGCCATCAGTGTCCCCATTGTACAGATGAAACCCTGATGTCCAGAGAGGAGAGAAACTTCCCTGAGGACACAGGACTTGCTGACCGGCACACTGAGCTCTAGAAAGGTAAGAAAGGTCCTTGAGGTCACAGTGCTGGCACTTGGTGGAGGGAACTTGGTGTTCTGGAATGTCAGACTGAAACAGGACTGAAGCTGAAATAGGCTTCAGGGTGCCCTCTCATGAGACACACAGCTAAGCTTGAAAATGACAAGAGAGGGCCAGTGAGATAGCTCAGAGGACTAAGTGCCTACTTATGTAAGTGTGGGGACAGAGGTTTGATCCCCAGCACCACATGCTGTGCCAGCCCTGACCCGGGCACACTGAGCTAACCACCAAGACCAGCTAAGGAGGCTGAAAACAGGAGGATTGCTACAAGTCCGAGCTGTGTAGTGAGATCCTGTACCAAATACATTTTTTAAAAAAAGAACTTTGACAAGCAGGGTATTTGGGAAGGGAATAGGGGAAGGATTCTTGCATGGATGTCCCCCTGTGGCACCCATTTATCCACCCTCTATGGAAAGGGACCTGGCTCTAAGGGAGCTCTCCCCTACTCAGGGAAAGTCCAGTTGGAGCCTTCTCACCTGTTTTCTCCTGCCTGCCTCTTCATCCTCACTCTAGCTCCACACCCTGAGGTGTGTTGTGGGGTGTCATACGAGCAATTTCCTCTTGCCGTTTGCCTGCCTGGTGCTCTCCTCCAGCCCTTGACATAATGGCACAACTCTATTTTGTACCAGTGGCTACATTAATGAGCACCATCCTTGAATTCAGGAAAGCATTAGGCACCCTTGCTGGCTTGAAATCCTGTCCCTTCTTTCTCATCCCTTTTTCTATTTTCCTCCCCACCCCACCCCATCCCAGGGATTTAATCCAGAGCCTGGAACATACTAGGCAAGTGCATTACCCTGAACTGTTTCCTCTTGTATCTCCCATCACCATTTCTTTTATATTTCATTCTTCCTCCAATAGAAAACCCGAACTTAGTCCACAGTAGGTTGATCATTACGTATTTGAATCAATGAGTGAATAGATAACACTAGATAATCAGATCTGACTCACTGATGGCTAGAAGTGTTCCTTTAATGTTTGTGAGGGACATGGTGTTGCCCCTTCTCTACTAGC